GAGTTTGGCGAGATCCTTGCAGACTCCACGGGCAGATCCCACGGGAAGGGTCTAACCATGGAATGGACTTGAATATACTTGAATGGATATATGAAAAGAATTGAAATGTGCATAAAGGTTCAACAACATTCCTACACACGATCATAATGAGAGACAATGCCGAGAACATCAAAACGGCTCCAAATTAAGATACCCATCACTTGCAAGTGGCTCACTGCGAAACCCACAAAAGGCATCATACAAAGTTGTTTGTTTGCAAAATGGAATGCATCTAGATTCCCCTGGTGTAGTGCACGGCAGCTCCTCCGAAGTAATGTTCGGAGTGGTCAGAGAGGAGGCCAAGGCGGTTCCTGGTAAACATGTTGCTTTGCGGCTACCAAGACACGCAGGTTTTTTACACGATGAGCGGACCTAATATCATGTCTACAAACTGCGTGCGCCTGTGTTTCTTACTTAAACAAAACCCCCGCTGAGCTCCACAACCTGCCTTAACAATCCTTAACCCGTGTCCTGATTTCTGCTCGGTTTCTTCCTTGGGCTCACCTCCTGTGCTCGTCGTTGGCGCGCCCTCAAGGCAATCATGGAATGCAAGCAACAGCTCTTGCGTACGAGCACTGCGACTAATTACCACTGTAAGGCTGGAAGATGCTGGGACACCAACATCTTTTACTTCAGCGGCGGTGCCAGGACCTGTCGATTCCTGAGACACTACACAATGTATGTAGTAGACTCCAATGCTACAAAATGAAATACTACAGAAATCTACAGAATGTCTCTATGACAGATGTGGCTACCTGCAACTGCTGTCTCAAAATAGGTCTGCGCAATGCATTAAACGGTTTAGACGTTTTCTGGCAGGATCCTAGCTCTACAAAAAGAGCTTCCGATGTCACTAATAGATTGCGCATGATGGCGCATGATAGCGTGTCCGAGCGCGTCACTTGTTATTCTGAAACGCGCTGTGCGGCTTGATACGATATCAAAACAACAACAGAAAGCATACAATGTCTAGCTATATATATACATATGGCTATATAAACTTATATATGTATATGTATATATATGTTTTTCAGTTGCCAATGTGTGGCCTGGAAATCAGATTCTCCGACTTTCCTTCACAGCCGCTAAATGCAAAAAAACAGAGTACCGCTGGCATCGGCACAAAAGTCGTAGAAAGGCACAAAGCTTTCAGGAAACACCACCAATCTGAGCTGTGCATCTCTCGGTGGTTGAAGCATTGTGCACTGCATTGTGCCCATTCCCACCCTTCGAATCAATGCACTACAAAATGCACAGAACTCATTAAGCACTACAAAATGAATGTACAGTTTCAAAAGGAAACACTGTCTGGGAAACTGATATCTTGGGTGGCTCTGAGGTTGGGGATTCTTGCCCAGCAATCCCTTAAAGAAAAAGGATGAAAGATGATGGATCAAACCAAGTGAAGGGGATCAGGATGTCTTTGTGGCATCTCCCTCTTCTCGTTGTCGGCTTAATTAAATATTTGCAACGTGCCACAGAGCTGCACAAAACACTCCACCAATCCAAACTGTCTGGATCTGTGTGGTTCAAACATTCTTGCATCTTGGTGCATGGTGTGTGTTCTTTGGTTAAACCACAAGCTCAATCAATCACATGCACCAGTGGTTCTTCGTCAGCATCCGGGATGTTTACAATCTCACGGCCGAAGGCCTGAGCCTTAAGCCAGCAAATCAGGACACGTCGGCAGAAAGCTCGAGGAAACGTTGCGCTGGACGGTAGGTCCCGTCCACCATGCCAGCCCCATTGGCCATTTGGCTTCAAGGCCTTCACCGTATAAACCTGGGTGACACAGATCCATGCCGGTTACAGTTATCCATTTCATTCCATTTGTATGACAATTTGTAACTGCAACTTCAGTGGGTTGGCAATCTGAATCAAAAGGCGGGCTCCAGACAAGAAACCTTTCCCACTTTTCTCTTCATGTTCCGCTGCACCAGTCTGTCCTTTTTCACAGGTAAACAATATTCTGTGAGAAACCCAACAACTTGTTACAAAATGCATCATGACTGATTATAGTCTACAAAATGCATAGAAGTAAATGTCAAAAAAGACACGTCCAAAATTCTTGCGTCGTAGGATGTAGATCTTCTACAAAAAGACTGATGGCCCACTAAAACTTTACAAATTGCATCAACATATGCTATCCAGTGTTCCCATGTGTTCCCCATGTCCTTGAACTTTTGACGGCTGCTGCTCGGCAAAGTTCTTCGGAGAGCCGCTATGCTCCTCATTCAACTCAAATCCGCTCCATTCCAAATGAATTGGTGGCGTTCCTTCCCAATCAGATTCCTTTCAATAAGCTAACTTATAGTTTATGAACATTTATATAACTATATAGATATAATTAGATTCATTGACAATAGGTCCCTGGCGCCATATTGCTCTGAAGATGAGTGCATTTGAGCATGTCATGCCCAAAATAGCAAAGCCAAGTGGTGCAAATGAACCTAAGAAAAGCTTGTACAAAATGGTTCAGCACATGCAATTGCAGTACAAAATGACCTTGCAATGACTGCCCATGTCTGCCACGCAGCATTGACAAAAGGGAAGTGATATCCTGCATAAAAGGCTGCTTATAGCCCCAAGATCCCGATGGTTGTTCGATCACGATGTAGAGGGATGGCTTGAAGTTGTGCAACAGTTCAAGGAAGCAGGCCTCCAAAGCGCATGTGTATGCGTGTGTGCTTTCTTCCACACTACAAACAACATCATTTTGTAGAGTCATATAAAAATATACTGCATTTTGTAAGTAATATGTTCGTGTATGTTCCATTTTTGATTCCACTTGAGCCTCTTGTATGCTATTGCGACACTCTTGACTCCAAGCGACAAAATTTTTCCAAATTCGCTGGCATAGTCTGACCTTATACCTTGATTGATCACCTTCTGGATTCTCTGCGCAGCGTTTATGCACCGAAGCACACGCTGGACCCAGCAAAGAACATGGCGGTGATGCCATCACCAAAGCATTGTCCCGAAGTCTCGGCAATGAAAACAGAATATTTAATCGATGACTTTCATCTACTTCCAAAAAACTGCAAGCTATCTGAAATACAGGTAAGCAGCTGGAATGCCAACTCTAGGAGTGTCATGAAGCCAGATGAACTGCAAATATCATGATGCTCGTTCAGTTTTATGTCATAGGTTGTCGCCGCGAACCCTTCCGACTGAAAAGTGGTAGCCATTCGCTGAGATGCCCCAAAAACATCGAGCAAGTGATAGGTTTGCTGGATTGTCTGTGATGTTGAACGCATCCACTCCAACAACGCGGGCATAGATTTCTCTGGCTGGAACCACCTAGTAGAGTAAACAAAGCAGGAGAACACAACATCGTTTTGTAGATAGAAACCTGACAAGTACCATTTTGTAGAAGATAGTCAAGCTAAGTTACTGCAATATCAAACACTGCTGAACCTTTTGCCGGTCATTTCAATAAACCTGTCATTTTGTAGGCTGTGAAGGGCAACATTTACTGCAACCTTGCAGGATATTGCAGGCATAGAAACTATCCGGTTGAAACCACCTATATAGTAGAATAAATCAAAGCAGGATAACGCAATATCATTTTGTAGATAGGTATTCTGTCAGCTACCATTTTGTAGAAGACGTTAAACTTGATGAAAAGAAAAGTTGGTGTAACAACAAAGACCAACTCAACATTGCATATGTCATTTTGTAAAATGACACCATTTAAAAATCAATTTGTAGTGATAATCTTGGTATATCTTGGTTAAAAAAACACATTCATTTCTCCAAGCAGCAGTTCTTCAGATGTGACGCTACTAGTATCGTCCTGCACCCCACCGCGAGCAGCATGAGTAGCAGCCACCATCAGCATCAAGATGCATGCTTTTGCCACTCGCGCCATGACAGAACACAGGTATTCACAGTTTCTATGCGCTAGAATTTGGTTCCCGGTCAGTCAGCTGCCCTTGAACCAACCCAGTCCACAACAAGCGGGAAATCTCTCAAAGCGAGCGCAAAAGATCATTGTTTTTTAACGATCCGGCTGATGTCTGCCAAAGTTTCTGAAGTGGTCTTCTTCTTCGGCTTGGCCTTCGAGATAACAAGAGTCCATTTCCATTCATTGCATTCCCTCGGCACGTCCCAATACGTCCCACCCTGCCTCCCCTCCATTCCAAAAGGAACAGGCAAAGATACATTTATTTTTGCATTTCTTGTATGCAGGTTGGATTTGGCTTGATTTGGCCAAGAAACTCATCCCAATAGCAATGGTGGTGGCTCTTTCGGTTGTTCGGACCAAGCAATTCACATCGCGTCACTTAGTTTCGCAGTTGGCTTCCAAGAATCTCAGAATTAAAAAACAATTTCAGAGTTTCTTTGAATTCCATGTTTAAAGTTCACAGCTCTCCGCTCACCAAAGGTTTGAGGCCTCATGACAATACAGGTCTTGCGTCCAAATCACACCAACATTGACGTTCAGGATCCCATTGCGGGGCCGCACATTCTTCAATGCAATGGCCAATCCCGCAATATTTTGGATAATCAGGTGGTGGTTCCATCTTTGATGGGCACCTGATCCTTCCAGACTTTGACCAAAATGGCTACGAAGATCGAGCTACCAACCTTCGGCTAAAAGTCGTATGCAAAGTTGAACGAAGCTGTGTACACTACAAAATGGTGCTCTCGACCTAGCCATTTCCGAGATCCCAACCGATCAAGAGTACTACAAAATGCTGATCCCAACGTGCTATTTCAGTTACTCCAAACTGCGATCACTACAAAATGACCTTTACAAAAAGCAGTCTCTCGACGTCAAAAAGTACTTTATATAAAAAAACTATTTTATAGAGACCTCAAGGTCTACCATTTTATATAGGAAATTCTTACCGGGATCCATATTATAATATCGTCTATACTCCATCCCATCTCCCACTTTTTCGCTCCTTCCAGGCTTTCTCCACCGCCTCCACCGCCGGATACCGCATCCACGGCGCCTCGGCACGAGGAGCTCCACCGCCACGTGTGAGGAGCACCGCCTGGGCGAGCTCCTCGGCCGCCGAGCGGTCGTCGCTGCCTTGGGCGCCAGCGGTGACTGGGAACCGGGGCATGTGGGTTGGGTGACAGAAGGGGCGGACAACACCAGCACAACCAGCAGCGGTCTCCTGCAGTTGGAATTTGGAATACCCTGACAGAGGAGGGTAACCCCGAAATGAAGGTCCAGGAAGAAAAAGGGGTTGGGAGAGGAGGTTTTAGGCGGGGGCTGCCTTGAGGAAAGCGGAGAATCTGTTTGGAGGATTGGGGTGGAGTGGGCTGTTTTAGGTGGTTGGGATTTAGTGGAGAAGGAGTTTCGCAATTGATCGGTTGATTGAACATCGCAATCAGTCGTAGTCGTCGTAGTCTTGAAGGTCTTGAAGGTTGACGATGATCTGCGCAAGAGATCACCCAAAAAAGAACTATTGGACGCCCCAAGTAGATGGACGGTCTGGGAGGATGGCGTACAGATCCTCTGACCATCTGTGCACCGTACAGGTCCGGTACGTCTTCTGAACACGGTGCCGGACGTGTGGTTGACCTGAGGTTCGACGTGTCTGGAACTGCCGGACTGCCGATCCATTGAGGGTGGTGGGCCATGAGGGGTCTGGGGCGGCAGTCCAGGCCCAGACAGGTCGTGTCTGGGGTACTCCAACATCTGACCGGCATATCATTGAGTGGTGAGTGGTGTGATCCGCAGTACGGTACGAGTACGAAATGGGTTGCCTTGACTTTACTTGAGAGTCTTGAGAGTTCAAACGGAACCCCCTGCACATCACTATTGTATAGGCGCAAAGGAGTAGATTCCGCCTGATTCAGCACATCTCTTCCACCACTTCGGTTTCACCACACCTCACCGCGTCGCACCACTGCATCCCACTGCATGAGATGATCAAAGCGGTGGAGACCCATTCATCGCATGTCCGTCGGGCCACACACCACGATGACCGAGCAGGAAGCTGTCACATGCTTCAGCGCTTCTCGAGCAAAGTCCCGTCCTTCCGACCGGCATTCGCAGCGGAGTGGTGCCGAGCCCGCGCGCGCGCGGTCTGGTCCGGATCGACCGGCGGTCGGCGGAGCACCGAGAGCTGTCTATCCAAAACAACTTGTTCCAACACGTTTGTGGCGTTCCACTTCCCAAACTTTGGTCAACCAGGTCACCAGTGGCTGACGGAAACCAACAGAAAGAAGAACATACCAAACCCAGGTGGACATCTAGCAGGGCCCTCTGGCCATGGGGTGTGCAATCGATAGCCCCTTAGAGGTGATTCGGCATGTCTAACCACCCCTGGCACAGGCTAAGAACACAAAACCTGCGTCGGGGCCCTGGTATAGCAGTGGAACATCAAGTCCCCTTAGCAATGGATCCCGGACGCCGCTTCGCCGGCCGTCCAGCGGTGTCCATCTCTCTCGTCCCGCCGGACCCTGGGACGAATTCAGAGGGTGGAAGGAAGGAATCAGAGTAGATCACAAAAAGCAATTAGGATGGCGTTATAGAACAAACAAATAGTCCAGATTATGTCCAATTGACATTTCACCATCTGGTTTGGAAGAGTTCCAATATGATCCAATATGTTCCAATCCAGAATCCAAAATTTGGGAAATTATAGTCTTCCACAAATCCCTCTGACAAATGCATTCTGGTGTTATTTGCGTTATTTGCCATAAACCAACCTTCACCACTGACTCTAGAGTGGATGTGGAATCTTCTTGCTTTTCACATATACCATCTGGACTCACCATCTGTTCATCATCGATCGAGTGGATGTGGGATCTTTTTGGTCTTTGGACCATCTAGTGTGACAAACTATACAGTGATGGGCCATCTACAGTGGATTTCTGCCTCGAGAGAAGCCTCGAGAGATGCCCTGGTGCAGAATTTGGAATCTACCAGTGTCCCAGGGGAGATCTATTGCACTGCCTGGAATAACCATGGAACTGGAAAAAGGCCTTTGGATGACAATTTTCGGAATTCCAAAGAACCCTCTGAGATCCGCTGTGCAGGGACCCAGTTGCAGGTGGTGCACTGGTTGCCACCAGTGTTTTCCACCCTGTTGGAGATATCTAAGGGTCATCCGGATGGTCTAGGTATCTGACAAAGACCAGTTGCAGGCCCAGCTCAGTGAGAGATGTGATCTTGCAACTTCCATATCCACCTAAGCTCCTTCAAGTGGGCCTCCATGTGCTCAAAACTCTCCACTTCAAGACCATGACGGAAGAAATCCAATCTGGCAATATCCCACCATACGTAGCTTGATTGTACCAGGTTGAGCAGGGTTTTTGTTGTTCAGGACACCTCTGTGTGAACATACTGCTTGGAAAGCCCAAATCTCGCCCCACCGTTGGTGGGTTCTCTGCCAAATCACATACAACAGAAGAAGACTGGTGGATGGTTGCTGCCCCACTATTTTCTTGCACAACACTGCCCAACTTGTTTCCTCACTTGAAGCATCTTCCAAGTCTTCACACAGAGTGATCTACCTTGCGCTCCTTTCACTCTGGGCAAGTTTGGTGTCTGCGGTTCTTGACCAGAGGTTGGCATTCACTAGGTCCAGCACAGTCACCGTATAACATCAGAAAGTCCCAGACCTTCATTTGTCCTTGGCAGTCAAAGGTCGTCAGGCAATATATCATCCGCACACACCAGCACCATCCACCCACCCAAAACACCATTCACCCGCCCGCCCAAATCAGCGAATCCTGTGGTGGAGACACTCTCCTGCCGCGCAGATTTCAACACGCGTACGGAACGCGCATCCTGATCCCTGGTGTTCCTCAGGGTCCTCCGTGTTGTTTTTGGGTGAATTCCTCTTCACTTCGCCGAAGCCCCGCGCTTCGGCGCCCCTATGACTCCCAAACGGGTGCGAGAAAAAGGAAGCCCAAATCAATCCCCTTCGCAGCCCCTAACATGGACCTTAGAATTTGACGGTTTTCGACCGGTTGTTGGGGTTTCATGTGGTCCGAATAGCAGGGGAGTAACAGGCCATAGCCACGAACTGGTACCTAGCAGTGCGGGGAGGACGTCAACGAGTGGTGAAAGTCCCGTGCCTCTCATGCATCCTGTGGCTCGCACCCACTGCAGATGTTTGAGGTATGCCACTCTTGTTTTGTGGAATGACACACAAGAACAACGTGTGATAGTGTGTGATCGTGTGTGGGTCAGAGTGGGTCAACACTGAACATGAACCAAATGGCCTGCTGCAAATTCAGCAAAAGGGGCCCAACAAACACCTGGTGTCCATAGAACAGTGTCTAATCAACCGAAGGGGCCAAGGGCGCCTAAGAACATACTTGAAGGCTGTGAAGCATGTCTATGAATTTAAGAGACAATTTGATAGGTCTTGAAAGATGTTCACCTATTATTTGACTCTTTGGATGGACCTTTGATAATCATTAGTTACTTTACAGTAAACAAAATAATGATCAGGAATCAGTAATATTAATAATGGGCATACAAAGCACTCCACAGCACATACAAGTTACCCTGTTCCCACAGGGGCTCGTTTATGTGAGCCGTTTATAGGGAGTTCTGAGAAAGAAAAGAACCACCGATGCCGATGCACCCAAACCTATCAAGCGATCTACGGAATAGGCCAATACACATTCCTGGTCTTCAGAGTCATTCTGTGTGATTTCAACATAAATGTGTTCGTACCCAAAGACTCCAAATAGCGTGGTCCGTCAAACATGTCACATTCAGCTTTCGATGCTGACCCACCAACCCACCAGTACCTGACTCTCAAGACCATGATGGCCAAAACCCCTGCCAAACCTCCGCCACCCACTCTCCCGCCTCCCCCAACGCCAACCGTTCCCCCCATCGCCTTGCGATTGCCGGCCACCTTGTCGCCCCGGCGGATCTGCACAGCGATGAAGGACTCCGGCAAGCGCAACTCCTCGTTGAGCCTCGACCGGCATCCGGAGGGTCTCCGGAGGGTCGGAGATCTCCCGGTGGAAAACGCCCTCGATCTCCACCGTTGGGTGCGGTTGTTTCGCAGCGCCTGTTGCACCCGAACGGCGCAGCGCCTGTTGCACCCGAACGGCGCGGTGTGGCCGAGGGTCATTTGACGTTTTTGGGCGCGGCGGAGGAGTATGGTGGTGGGTGTTCGGAATGGAGGGCTGGGTGTTGGATACTCTCCCGGTGACTTACGTGGCAGCCTTTCGAAAGAGATGGAAAGACTATATATGTTAACTATTTCCATTTAATTCCTACACCAATGGAGGGCACTTCCATGTGATGTTTTCGTTCGTTCGTGTACTCGTACAGACACTCCAAGTATAGTCTTGTCGAGTCCTCCAGGGCGCCGATCAGGTGGGGGACGGTGAACTCACGGGATCAATGACTCTCAGCCTTCGCATGGCTTGTCATTTGACTCCGCACGTATACGGGTGCGGTCTTAGGTCTTGACCAACAGCGGTCACCCACATGGAGTGCTTTGCGGCCGAACCATGAACTGAAGTTGATCATGGTGCCATCCGCCAGCAGAGGGGTGCTCGACTGTCCTTCCTCGCCCTCCAGGGCGAGGAAGCGACTGTTCAGGGCTCTGGCTGCTCTGCTTGGAGAGACCTGCTTGGAAGGGACATCAACAACTCCCACACAGCCTAGCTTTCGGAAAGCTGCCCAGGTCGCTGCCTCCCTGATCAGCCCAGCTGTGCCTCATGGCCTTAGGAACGTTCCGGTATGGCCACTCCCACTCCAGTTCAGCAGCCTGGAGAGAACGGCCTCACAGGCCACAACAGGCCGCAACCATTGGTTGGTGCGAACCTTCGCGCAGTCTCAGAGTGAGCATAGTTCTAAAGAGCGGATGGACATGGCAGATGGAACATCGACTCACCCTGTTGCAAACTCAGGTATACTGAGGTGCTTGGAAGCGGCCACTCAGTTTGGACACGGATGCCGCACACGCAAATGTGTTGAGAGGGCCCAACAGGTTCCCATCGATCTCCAAACATCCTGGGAAGCGCGAAGGGGTGACAGTCCGTTTTTGGGTTTCACAGTCCGGTCAAACAGTCCGGAGGTGTGTGGTGACACGCTTGGGCAGCTGGCCCTGACCACACTGCGGAGCTCCGTGGAATGCCCCATGGGATTTCAGGAATGCACCAGAAGCGAACCGGTGAAGTGAAGCCAGGTTTTGAATCTCAAAAGCAGCTATTTAGAGTCTACCCGTTTACAGGTGACCAACAACTCGAAAAACACACACCCTCGCCCTTTCTGGCCATGACTGCCTACCCCCCCCGGGCCTCTCGATCCGTTTCTTGGTCTCGCTGGTATAGCGCCAAATGCGCCGCATGTACTTGGACCTCCAGCCGATGCGGCGCTCATTCCCCGTCGTCGATCCGCGACCGAACTCAGAGTGATGAGTCGTTCAAAGACCACACGAGAGGGGAGCACGACAAGGGGGACGTTCACGTGAAATGGCCGACATGCTGATCCTCTGTAGGTGGCTGTTTTAGCCACCAAACTGCTTTCAGCGATGTTGCGAGATTTGGGAATATGGATGAATATGGTGTTGGAATGATCCAAGCCAATCTAGTTGCCTGTTAGTCGATAACGAGCACGTAGAGCTCTGGACCAAAACAAAAAAACGACTTACCAAGCTAGGCAAAAACAAATCTGTCATTCCTGACCCTCTCAACATTTTTTACCCTTAGGATAGCAAACATGGGAAATTGCAAATGAACTATCTGCAAGTATCCCACTGAGCCAAAAGTCCAAAGACCAAAAACAAAAACAACGGGCGTTTCCTGCAGGAGGTGACAAAGGCTGCTCAGAAAGCAACCTGTTAGCATCCCTGAACCAAACTATACAACGTTCATAGTTGGATCTGCATGTAAAAGGAACATGGGACCCCGCAGCGGGGCAGGTGTTCTTTTTCTCCCCAAGTCCATGAAGTCTTGCAACGAAGACGCTTCTTGGCGAAGGGTACGCGACTGGCGTGCTTGCAAACGGCAAACCAACCTCCAAGCGGGCGCCGGTGATCTACTCCCAGCAGACTTGTCTTCCGATCGTTTTAAATAAATGCGTGTATACATAGTAAATAGACTACTGTACACACAACATTCTTCCCAACTTTTTCCTGGCAACGTCCTCATGATTTTAGCTACAGCCAAGCTCATTGGTAGAACGAATCCCTACTAAACGATGTCTTGGGTGCTCCATGGCCAAGTGGTTTGCTATTAAGTTCAACCACTCGACCTCGTTTGGTTTGATCTTTGAAACAGTGTACACATCCCAGGACAGTACCCAACTTCATCTCATGCCGATTTTCCGTCCGTCGGGCAGGCGCCTGGTGTCGCTACCCTCCGGTCGCGGCGTACATCGCAGGGCCGGCAGACCGCATGGGGGCAGCGCCGCAAAATCAGCGGCTCAGCCTGACCGGAACATGGGGAACCGCCAGGGCGTGCATTTCCCAACCACTCCATGGCACTGCCATGTATGCCTATTTACATTGACCCCCCAAACCACCCCAAGCTCTTTGATGGGTAGCAAAATACTCATAAGTTATAAGCGCTGCATGGAAGAAGGTCGTGCTGTGTTCTTTTAAACAGTGAAACCATGCTGTATCACCCCAGCAGGAACTTGCCTCCAAATAGGTGTGCAGCCGCCCAGAGTTCCAGACTTCATCCTCCACCACACAGGCCAGTCCGTGCTCCTGGGATCAACGACCAGGGCATCCTCCACGTAGGTCTGGGAGTCCAGCGTTCCAACCACTGGAGAAGGTGCGAACGCCAGTGCTTGTGGTTAAACACGAGTACTATTTCAAGCCACACCATGTAGAGGAAGGTAAGGGTGCTACCGTGCTACCTCCCCAAACTTGAGAACTTGTCCATCCCCTCTGGAGCCCGCGGTCTCGACCGCTCTCTTGTCTCGATGAGACCGTCTAGCCACGGCTTGCGGCTCGCGGCTCGCGGCCGCCCTCCTCGCAGGCGATGGCCGCCGAGACCAAGTTATTCACCTCCGAGCCAAAGCCCCGGTCCTGGCGAGCCGAGCAGGCGCGGGTGGGGTGGCCGAATGGGAGGGTGCGCCGCCTCGGTTCCCGGTCGAAAAGAACGCGCGGAAACGGCGTTTGGGGAAACCCCAGCCCCAAGTCTAGCATCGCATGCCGCGTGTTGGGCCATTTGGGTTGATCGGTCAGGAAACTCCCTGTACCCTCCTTACTTCCCCTGTTGAAGGCAGCTGGTTGGGTCCCTGCAAACCAGAAATGGACTGAAAACGGCAAATGTTAGCTTAGCTGCCAACTCCAAACATTAGCTTAGCTGCTGTGTGGGTTCTCCTTTAAGCTAACTCCACCCTTCTCGCTGGCAAATGTGTAAGACTTGGCAGTGTCATAACATTTGGCAGTATTCTTTGGCAGATCAATATAGTGAAAGGGAACTCCGGAGGCCGTGAGAAGCGTGACTATAGTGACTTCAGTGACTTCTGAACTCTTTCCAAAACACATGGAATCTGGATGCATCATGATGCATCTGGATGCACATTTTGCAAGCTTGCTCTGCTCTCCATGCCATTCCATGGGTTCCTCCCCATTGGTCCTTTGGCGCGTCGCGGTCTTCTTCGTCCACCTGAGGCGTCCCGGTCTTCTTCGTCCCGGTGGTTCGTTCTGTCGTTATGTCGGGGGGGGGGAGCTCTCCTCGATCCAGAAGTGCACGCAACTGAAGGCCCCGAAGTCCACGTCGGCCGCCTGGAGACGGATCGAGACTGAGAGGTAGGCATCCGCAGCTTTGGATCGAAGGAGATCCAAAGAGAGGGGAAGGACATGGCCAGAATGAAAGCCACAACTGGACCCAAACACCGGTTGCTGATGGTTGCCACCATGGGTGCTAACGGCATGATCTGGCCAGGTTCCCGGAGTTGCTGTTGTTCAAGGATGTTCGTTGTTGGTGAAACCGTTGGACGATTTTCCTGCCATGCCTGGAAGAAGTGGTTGTTAGCCACGACCGGAGGACCGGACTCTGAGGTCTACTCTGAGGTCTAACAGACTCGTGGGTGACCCTTCACCCGGGTTTCCAGGTCGGTCAAAGAGACGCATCTCCACCATCTTGGTTGGTACTTCCCATCTAGGTGTCAATGGAAAGAATTCTTCACCCTTCACCAAACAGGGGTCAGACTGGGGAAGAATCCCTATCACAGGATGTCGTTCTTCAAACATGGGACTGGAATGTTCCTATACGAGTATTTTAAGGAGGTTCACTAGGTCAATATGCCCTACATATCCTACATGGAGTGTCTGACGTTTGGCTATGGAAGATCCTTTCTTGGCTGGGCGCTCAAAAAAATTAATTATCGCTCAACATCAAGCAAAAACAGGGCCAGGGCAGAAAGCACCTCGTCTGTGGTCTTGCGGTCCCCTGTCAAAGAGATAGCAGTCCCCTGCCAGCATTTTGAGCCAGGAGTCACAAGGGGGTGGTGTTTAGTTCCTAAGTGAGTGGATAATGGGCACCCCTAACCTCCACCCCTTTGTGACTGCTGGAGGTGGTATTCTATTTTGTCTATCTGATCGATTTATTTCGAGCTCAATACTTTGATATGGAGAGAGAGGGTCTTTGAGTGGCAGGTATTGAAGCAACCCCGGAAGGTTCATGCCAAACATCTTGAAGGGTGGTGCTGGCTGCCATGGCTGCCCCGTGGCTGCCATGGCTGTGCTCTATTTTTTACTCACTCATCGCAACTGGCTGGCCACGTCAACCGAAATGCCACCAAATCAAGTGGCCATCGGATTTAGGCCAAATATGGCCAAATGCCTGCCTTGCACTCAAGCAACTATAAGGATTCAACATAACAAAAACAAACAAACAGAACACACTCACCTGGAAAAATAAACTGTCCTCTTCAACAACATGCTGTGGTACATGTATTGATTCATGCTGTGTTGGGCGTTGCTCCAGTAGATCACCTTGAATTACCAGCGGTCCCCTTTCAGGGGAGTGCGGATCTGGAACACAGGCTTCCACTTTCCACCCCAGCCAGGGTTCATCTCTTTCATCGAACATCCAAAACGATGAGGGGGTTCGCGTATGGATAAGTGTGCACGTCACACATCGTTGGTTGGGTCACCCGGAATCTCGCCCAGGCATCTTGACTCTCCCTCCAACAAACATGAAAGTGCATTCTGCACGGAAGAGAAGGGCATATTGGAGGATTATGATTCTCTACAAACAGGGGTGATGTACGATCCATTTTTTGCTTGGTCGGAGGGCAGTAATTCATGGACAAGCTCCATCACGGGCCATTGAGAGACAGGCCCCAGGTCTTTTGATGAACCGATCAACCCAGGAAAAAGACTTGCAGCTGGGTCCGTCCACATCTGGTGAACCGTGGTAAACCAAATGCCTTCACTCACATCTTCACATGAGTGAGATTGCAGCCCAGCATCATCCATCACTTAAAGACTGGTCACATGAACCATTTGATTCTTAAACCCCTCTCCCACACGGGCATGTACGGATTTTCCAACCAAATGAACACACACCCTGCAACCAACAAGGACGCAAAGGCTCGCTCCAACGGATCTGGGCCATCGCAGGGGGTCGTGTTCGGGAGTCCGAGTAGCACGACGCCGTCAACGAAGCTGAAGCCTACATGTTCGATGTGGATCATACCTTGAACCCCCCAAACCACCCAAACAGGTGAGCATAACCATGGACCCACCATCTTCTTTATGTTTGGTGGTCGATGTCATGAACCCACCGTTTCTTGCCATATTGGAACAGGTGGGCTGGGTTTTTTCGGTGGGGAACATCCTTCAAACCTCACGAACTCCAAAGGCACGCGCGGTTTCGCGGGCGCGAAAACTGCCGTTTCGCTGCAGCGAAACGCCGCGGTGCACACGGCTCTCAGCTTGTGCTTGAAACAGCGGCCCAAAGGGGAAGCAGAAGATCTCAGAAGTACTCCGATCCAGTGCTGAGTATCAGATGGCTTCGACATGAAGGTCAGTATAATGCTCCTCTATTTTCTGAAATCATCCCCATCAGAAAGACTCCGAAACCATCTCCTCTGACTCTTCGTCCTCAGCCGGAATTTGACACCTCTGGACAGGTCACCTACACCACAGCCCCAAACCCAAACAATCCAGGGGGACTGGGGACTGGCATTTTTTTTGGCTAATACGGCTATACCCTGAAACCACACCCAAGGTAGTATAAATCATAGGTATATAGTTTATATGGATACTTATGGAGTGCATATATAGTGCATTAGTGTGGCCTACACCACTGAGATTCCCCGATGGATCCAACGAGTTTGGCCTCTTTCTGCTGCTGAGTTGAACGACCCCGAACTCTTCTTCGACCTCGAATTCCATGTTTTCCTCAGGAGTTCTGATAGTTCTGATCTGTAGCCTAAAATTAAACTCTCTCTTGGATGAAGTTGAGGTGCATCACTTGAGGTTCTCTCTGTCTTCCCTTTTAACCACTTTGAAGCCAAACAAAGAGCTGAACATCCATCTCACTTAGGGAGATGGGCTGCCTGCGCAAACACTTCCTGAGGTCTTTTTATGACCGAAGGAACCGTTTCAACCAGTTTCCTATCGTCCGAGACTTAGAGCCCTTCGAGACTTGGAGCCCTTGGTTTGCTTCAAAAACCCTCCTGGATGGACAAACCCACTGGAGCCCTTGGGCCTCGCCACGTTGTCCTGAACTGCGAAATGGCGCGGCCCAGACACCTCCGATTCCTCGAAGAAGAGTTGGCTTGGAATGGCCGACACCGCGCGCGGCGCGGCCAGGAACTCTGCCGCGGTCTTGCCTTTTCGCGACGGTCGCGGCCAGAGGAAGAAGGGGCGAGGCGAGGCTGAAGCACAGACTGGTAAGAGTCTATAGTGGATGGAGGGTGAGGTCTACTGCAAGTGCTTGAAACTTGAATCTGGAAGAGTTTCCATGGATGACCGCTCATTGGTAATCTTTTCTTGGTGAATGCAAGCCACTTGGCCACTCTTCCAGAAATTCGAATCGACTTGGATCAGAGCAAAGTATTGTACAAGTAAGGGATAGTAGGGGTAGCTCTATAGCTCACGACTATGCCTGACACTGAGTGGGTTTTGGAAGCTCCTCAAACCAGACCTCCTTCCAAAACCAAGTTTGAGAGGAAATCCGCGGTCCGCGGATTTCACCCCAACATCCAAACTCTTGCATGAATCAACTCTCGAACCCAACGGTCCCTGTCTGGCCCCTCTCATGGCCCTCTCCTTGCCTCGCGAGTTCCGAAGATCCACTTGGGCTCCCGCGGCCAGGAGCACCGACGTGGCCTCGAGGCCTCATGCCCAAGGCATCGAGGCGTTTCAGGGGTTCAAAAAGCCAGCGTAAGGCTTTTCTTTCTTTTCTTGTCGCGGAGCTGACAATGTCGGCTGGCGATCTCCAAGCTATCCATCCATCCATCCATCCATCGATCTATCTATCCTTGTCTATCATTATCTATCTATCTCATGTCATCTCACGTCATGTCAATTGATTTCACACTATATTGTACATACAATTCCATTACATATATACCAGCGATTACCAGCGCCTTCCCTCCTCCTTAAGAGACCTCGAATAGACTTGCCTATTCACTGCACTTGTGCACTTGTCGATCTCCATTGAACACCCCATTGACCAGCTCCAGTTCTATTCCTCCAACAGGTTGGACCCTGTGGGATACCTGTGGTCCTCCAAGATCTCCAAGATCCAAGGGAATCGATTGAACAAGTGCAAGATGTCCAAATCCAAGGATCTAAGATGATCTAAGTTTGTGAGTTCCACTTCCCCAGACAAGCCCAAGTTAAAGGAACAATACAAAAAACAAAAACACATCGAAAACAACCAAACACAAGAGAGCTCAATAAAACGAAAGACAACACATTCACACTCAATGAAAAAACAAATCAATCTTGGTGTTGTTCAGTTTCTTTGAGTCTGGATTTGCTTTATTTTTAGTTTGGATTTGTTGAGTTCGGTTGTTTTTCCTTGCAAAATAGAACTATACACAAAACTGAGACAATAAAACAAAAACACATCAAGCCTCAAAGAAAACAACAAACATCAACAAACAATATATTTTTGTTTGGTTTGCTTGTTTCTTGAGTGTTGCTTTGTTTATTATTGTGTTTTCCCTGAGTCTGGTTCTGAGTCTTCCTTTTTGGTTGAGTCTTCTGCTGAGTCTCCTTTTGATTATTTGTTTTATTGTTAATTGTTTTTCAAGACACGAGCTCCCAGCGTATAACCCCTCACAAATCTAACTATTTATTGATCTCCAGATTTGGCTTGAGAATCTTAGAGAATATGTTTATTGATCACCATCTCCAGTTCCTGTCCCAGCTCCCAAGATTTCCGGTAACAAATCTGCATGGTCCGAGGGTGGTAGACGGAATTGATTTCAAACGTGGAAAGGAGTGGTCAAAGGTAGAAATCTGTAGATTGGACGCGCGAGACCATCATGAAAACACAACTTGCTCAAAAAGGGATTTATTTTTTGTGTTGAATATACCAGATTGACTTGTTACATGGGTATAGTGTTTCAATAGCATTCCAACCACCATTGATTAATAGCCTTTGCCGAGCTTTACTAAGCTCTTAATGGTCTTTGAAGGCTATATTAGGGTTTTTGGAGAGTTCTTGTGCAGTTCCTCCCTTGAAGTCCGGTGGCCTTGATCTCGTCTTAAAGGTCTCAACTCTATATGCAAAGCCGAGACCAAAGTGCTCTGCCCGACAC